AACTCTGAGTATAACATTTCTGGTAGTTTCCTGGTATATGATGTTAGTTGATTGTTTTTCAAGTTAAAATTAGATGATATATGTATACATTTTATCGTTCAAAGCATGGTCTGTTAAGGACCCTTACCATTTTTAGTGTTGTCCGATAAGGACATTTATTGGACAAGGCATCAACTGGTGAGGGTGTTCATTGCTTAAAGTCGTGTCCAGTGAGGGTGTTCATTGCTTAAAGCCGTGTCCGGTGAGGGTGTTCATCACTCGAAGCCTTGTCCGGTGAAAGTGTTCATCGCTCAAAATGTTGTCCGATGAGGGTGTTTATTGCCTAAAGTATTGTCCGGTGAGGGTGTTCATCGCCCATATGCTGTCCGATGAGGGCAATCCCCTACCATATATTGTCCGAGAAGAATGTCCAACCAGTTATTGTTCTTTGTGAATTTTCCCAATGTTAAATCATTATGTTTGTGCATTATACATATATCTGGTGGGGTATCTACGTTAGAGGGCGGGGAAAGCCGTGATAGTTGATAAGGTACTTGTGAATAGATGGCGGACCAACCACGATAGTTGGCAGGGTACCAGTGATAGATGGCGGGACAGTCGCGGTAGTTGACAGGGTACCTGCGCATAGATGGCTGACCAACCGTAATAGTTGGCTGGGTAATTGTGAAAGATGGCGGACCAGCCGCAATAAAAGATATTTTGTGATAAATGGCAGGGCGGCCGCAATAATTAGTAGATTTATCTCTGATGAATGGTAGGTCAATTGTATCAGTTTAAACAGTTGACCTTCATATTGAAATTTTACTGTTATTATTTCTATAATTGTGTAAAATGTCATACGAGAGTATTCACTCATTAGACATTTCGGTCTAACTCTTAATTGTTGTAAATTTTATTTTTTGCTGGACGACGCGAGACTGAAAATAGAGGAAAGGGAAAATTTTGATAGGCATTTGTCTTACTTTTGATTTTGTTAAATCAGCTCTTGTTTGAGATCAAACACGTTTGTATAGTTTTGATCTGATCTATTATATGTAAACAAACCGGTATTATTTTATAAACGTGTATGTTATATTATGTAAGCGTTTGGTTGGAATGGTATGTTTGAGATTGTTACAGCATGGGACGTTTGAGATTGAGGAGTTGTTACAGCATGGGACGTTTAAGATAACATGTTATCTTCAGTTTTTGGAATACTTGATATGTATACAAGTTTGTATACAGATTTTGTGGAAAACATTTGGTAGCTACTTTGTATTGTAGTTTTTGTATATATTGGGATCGAATGTGTAAAGTTGTATTTCTTTATATCTGGAAATATGTGTTTATACGCAAACATGATCCTTGGGGTGTTACAACCGACCAAAAACGAACCGAACCGATCAACATCCAATTAATCATCCGATAACCATCCAGATGTCCAACCAACCATATCCAACTATCATCCAATTAATTTATTTTCAAATTGCTTAAATCGGAATTTGTTTTATGTGAGACTTTGAATTTTTAACTTCTCTTGTGTTGGTTTTAACACATATTAAAAGTGATTAATTAATTTGTATCATTGTTAGATAATTAGAATGAATTAACACACTAGATGGATCCAATTCCATCGAATCATCCATTGGATATCCGATAAAAGTATTCAATTGATGGAACCGATCCAATCACCCATTGGATTGAATCAAATCAATTATCCAATATTAATCGGATCGGTTGGCAAAATCCAACATCCAATGGATGATTGGATCGATTCAGTTCCCCTCACTTCCAACGGATATTAACCGATGAACAAGCCTAATAATTTGATTAGAATGATTCCTTTTTCTTTGTAAGAGCATCTCCAACAACTATACTAAAATAGAGAATAGTGAGATTTTAGCATTTTTGTTGCTCCAATAGCTATGTTATCTTCAATGCTAAAATAAAGAAAAGGGGTGAGAGATTGTAAAAATCTCTAAAACTTTATAAAAGAGAGAGAAACAATAGTTTAAACATATACAAACGAATGAAACTAATTGAAGTTAAATGTGTAAAAGAAAGAAATAATATTTTATTAAATGTATTAAATACTTTATTAATATAGTTAATACTAGAATTACTAAAATAGAATAGTCGGTAGGGTTGGAATGTATTTTTTTTCGAGATTTTGAATTTTCATACTTTATTATAGAATTTTTTTAACATAACTATTAAGATGTTCTATGATTTCAATCTACCATCAAATCACTTTATGGTAAGTTTAACCCGTTGTATTAAAAAAATTACATTTAGATGGACCGGGAACCAAATCAACATACTAACAAACACCAATTACCCTCCAACAATTAGTAGTCAGAATCATACCCATACGCGTAACCATAACCATAGTCGCCATTGGTGTAGGTTATGAGGTCCTTGCTGCCACCGCTATTGTTGTAAGTTGTAACTCACCTTGCGAACCCTCTATTCATTATAAACCTCAGTGTACCCACTCTTGTCTCCAAGCCGGTGAGTCACACAGGCGGCACAGGCGTGTATGCGGTAACAAGTCGCAGCGGCAGCCTCGCGTCGCAGTCGCAAGCGTGTTGCGTGTATGCGGTAGCCACTAGCCGGTATCAGGTATGTCTTCACTCTTCACTCCCTTCACAATCACAGATTCACAGACTCACTTTCACAGTTTCACTCTCGTTTCTTGGCTGCACTGAAGAGGGAGGGGCATCCTACCTCATCTTGTTGGGGGTCCAATTACACTTAATCTCAAAATACAAGTAAATATTTTTTTGGGCTTTCATATAACATTTTTGTTGGGGGCCCAGGACCCCAACCCCTTTTTACTGCATCCGCCACTTACCGGATAAATGTTTGGTAAACGGCCATGTAATTGAATAAAAATAGGGAGCCAGAGGAGACGGTAGTAGTCAGAATGAGCATACCAGACTTGAAATGGTAGGCGCCACTCCTTGAACCTCCACACCCTACCCGTAGCTCCACTTAAATCTAATTCCATCACTCCACATCCAAACTCCATTGTTCGAATTGCATCAGATGAAATCTCCCCTCCTCGTAGCTCCAAGAGAAATCCCCTTTCTCGATTGAAGCAGCCGAGGTTGTTCCTCTTTGTAAAACTTGAACCAGATGAAATCTCATGGCAGATCGAACGAGATGAGGTTGTTATTCTTTAGATTTTGGTTTTTTCTTCTTGGTATTTGGATTTTGACTTATAACACATGGTTTTCATTCATTTAGGGTTCTTCTCTGGATATATATAAACATCTGATTTGGGGTTTTTTATTTCGATTTAGATTTTCCATCTAATTTGGGGTTATTATTTGCTTTTAGATTATGACTTGCATCTGTTCATATGATTCATTTGTCTACATCTGATTTGGGTTTTTATTTGCATTTAGATTCTCATTTGCATCTGATTCATCTACATCTTTATATCCATCCTTGGTGGTTGGTGTGAGTAGAGGAAGAAAGAGATGAGGAGGATGAAGGTAGGTACAAAGACCATTTTGCCCTCACATGACCAATAATGTAATTAATAAAAGTTTAGGAATCAAAACTAAAATAAAGTCAAAGCGTAGGGACCAATATGTCGTTTAATCAAATTTTGTAAATTCCTTTTATTAACACGTGTAACAAAACGAATTTATAAAAACTAGAAGGGTATTGATACAATGTAACAAGATATATTTTGTTTTTAATATTTTATTTTATTATTTATCTCAGTAGATGTTATAGTATAGTCTTATGTGATTTTGAAAAATGATAATGTTTTTATTTTTGAATAAAATATAAATATGAAAATATCATAAAAATTTGATAAAAATATATTGATATTAGTATCAAATTAACTATTTAAAATTCCTAATTTTTGTGTAATTTTTTTATTTAATTTTTTTTATAATTTAATTTAGGTTTAATAACGAAGTAATTTATATTTGATTTAATAATATAATTTTCTTATAGAGATAATAATTATTATTTTGTTAGAAGTTCATAATTATTCTAATTATATTTTAGATTTTTTTATATTTTAAAATGAAATGTTTATTCCCTATTTGATTATGTTTATCCGCAATTAGTTACATGAATTCAAACATGGAGCTTTAATAAGTTATACTTATGCATAATTACTTGTAATCTTGAATTTTAAATAATATACATCAATATACAGTACTTAATGCATAAAAAAAGGGTTTTATGAGTTTTTACCAAATTCTTTATAATATAGTATAGATTAATAAAATATAAGGATATAAATCGATTAATACATTCTTTTTTTTCTTATTTAGATAGCATTTTGGTTCAAACCTCCTCCTACGTGGCATAATTATAATTACCGAACTATATATTTTTTGCAATAAATACAAAATGTTTCTATGTACATGGGCGGAGCCGACGTTAGCATAGTGTTAGCACCAACCCACCCTGAAGTTTTTATTTTCAAAATTTTTATATGATCCAACATCTAATAACTACTACTTCCATTTAAAAGACCATCGTCAACATATTAACATTCTACCTCCCTTTCTCATATTGTTAAGAGATGTGCCCTTTTGGTATTAAAAAAACAATTATATTTCATGTCCACATTTTCATTTGGAGTTGTACGTTGAATCATCTCATTAGAAATAAGATGGTATTGAGGATTATCCTTAACATAAATTCTAGCTCTGCCCTTGTTTATGTATGAATTTCGTTGTCCTTTTACAAAAATTTAGTACCATATTATAAAACTTTTATGTTCAACAACGCTAAATAAAAAAAAAACTATTGAATTGTTTTTGTTTCATCGGTTATTTTAAATGATATGCTAAAATGGAGGAAAAGAGAAAGATAAAGATTTTAATTTAAATCTTTAAAACTGTACCGAAAAGAGAGAAATAATATTTTAATTATTTTTCTTATTAGATATTTTATTTTATAAATTATAAGAGTTGAATGCAAATGAAATTGTATTTTTCTTGTTCACTAAGCATCTAAGTGGGGCTCCGAAGACCACACAACCAAGAGGTGAACTTTATCCCAATCAAACAAAATAAAAATCAAAATTAAAATTAAAAAACTTGGAGCTTTGGAGGTTCGTGATGTCTCCTTCTTCTTCTTCAGTTGGCGTGAGTTCAAAAGTAGATGTGTTTGGCATTGGAGAACATGAAATTAAGGTTGTAAAAGTAGCAGAAGATGCATCGACTCCAAGGCCGCTGCTCATTTTTACACCATCAGAAGCTGGAGAATTCCCAGTACTGGTTTTACTCCATGGTTTTCTTCTCTACAACTCCTTCTATTCTCAGCTCAGCCATCACATCGCTTCCCATGGCTTCATCCTCGTTGTCCCCCAGGTTTAATCCTATTTTATATGTATATATATATATATATATATATATATATATGTGTGTGTGTGTGTATCTATTCCACTACTGTTACTGCTATATATAATTTTAATTAGTTGGCAAATGGGTGGACAATTTTAAATGCCTACAAGACCGTTCTCAGATTCGATCCCCCTCTGCCGAGGCTAACCTTGGCTGCTAACTGAGCTAATTGGTGTTTTTGGAGACGGGTTTGGGTGGGCCAGTAATCAACTTTTATACTTCCACAAAATCCAAATTGCTCAAAAACATTTTGGCGAACCAAACAAACCCTAAATGTATTGCAATATGACATTTATATAAGATGTACAATTGTTTTGTCTAGTAAACTTCAATCATATTAAGCATATTATTAGGACACTTAGATACAATATGACATGTTATAAGACCTATTTAGTTGTAGTGTAACATAACCTGCGATACCCCATTGCACCTTAAATTCGTTCATTACTACTTATTTTCTTATTCCTTCTCGAACATGGAACATCGAACAGTTATATTCAGTGACAGGACCAGATGCAACTAAAGAAATCGAGTGCGTGGTTGCAATAAGTAACTGGCTACCAGAAGGACTTCAAAAGTTCCTTCCATCCGGAGTACATGCAGACCTAACAAAGCTAGGACTCGCAGGCCACAGCCGCGGAGGAAAAGTTGCTTTTGCTGTTGCCCTTAATAAACTCCACACGAAATTGAATTCAAAATTTTCCGCCTTAATTGGAATCGATCCAGTGGATGGAATGGACATGGGTAAACAGACTCAACCAAAAGTCCTCACTTATGTTCCCCATTCCTTTAATCTTGAAATACCGGTAATGGTTATTGGTTCGGGCCTAGGTGAAATCAGAAAAAACCCATTGTTCCCAGCTTGTGCTCCCAAAGGGGTGAACCATGAGGACTTCTATAACGAGTGTTGTAAACCAGCTTGTTATTTTGTTGTGAAGGATTATGGACATCTTGATATGCTTGATGACGAGACTAAGGGAATTAGAGGGAAAGTTACTCATTGTTTGTGTAAGAATGGGAAATCTAGGGAACCCATGAGGAGGTTTGTTGGAGTGGCTGTGGTTGCTTTCTTGAAAGCTTATTTGGAAGGAGATTGCGGTTATCTAACGGCTATAAAAGACGAGGCCAATGGACTTGTGGTGCTTCAGAAAGTTGACTTTCAGCTATGAAAGTTCTGGTCAATTAATAAATACTGAAATTTTTAAGTCTTGTAGACATTTTGAATTATGCCTTTTTTTTAACTTGATCATTTGTTTTCTATTAAATTTTATTGGAATTTTTGCAATCTAATTGATGTGAAATATGAATCTTGCTCAAGATATGATATCTTTTGCCCTTGAGGAAGTTTTATATCTATATTAAGATTTTTGACATTGTTGATTATTTTAAAAATCACTATGACACTTCCAATTTTTAAGCGTTTTAATAGACTTCTTTAAAAGACTTGTTTTATAGGACCAAAAAAATAAAGCGTTCTATCTTAAGGTGTTGTAATAAGTTTAGATGACATTTTTTAACGTCGTAATAAGTTTTTTAAAACACTTTTAATATAAAACGTCATATTAACAACTTTATTTAAATTAATTTAGAGATAGTTAGTTTCCAACAATTTATTACAAAACATAAATTCTAAAAAATAAAATTAAAAAATAATGTTGAAAAAATTATAAAACATAAATGTATAAGACAATACATTTTTTAAAAAGGGTTTTCTAACCCCACCCCCTCCTACAATTTTATACACCCCCCCTCCCTATGCTAAAAGACAAAAAAAACAACTAAATGACAAAAATTAATATTTTCATTTTAACCTTTTTATATTTGAACTTTTAACTCTAACCTTTTTATATTTGAACTTTTAACCTTTTACTTTTTTAAATTTTTTAATATTATTATTAATTAATTAAATATTAATAATACATATTTCAAATATAAATTAAATTTATTAATTAAAACTTTGATTTTTCATGTTAAATCAACATATTCACGAGTAAGAGTACGCTCTATATAATAATAAAATATTAATAATACATATTTCAAATATAAATTAAATYTATTAATTAAAACTTTGATTTCTCATGTTAAATCAACATATTCACGAGTAAGAGTACGCTCTATATATTCTTCATATGCATTGAATCTATGTTGATACGGGACAATCCATGTACTTGCATTTTCAAAACGGTAACATGTCCAATGGTGCGTAAGTGTTGGCATTTGATATTCTCCATTTAATACCACCTTTATGTAATGGTTACCATTAACATGCACTATTGCAATTGCCACGTGTTGAGRTGACGACGGAGGTTGTGTCCTAAACGGTAAGTATGTCACACTGCCTGCCATATTGAGAACATGCAGTATGACATTGAACCTTGAAGCCGTTAGAATGCCCATTTCAGACATAACAATCCAATGCGCAATTGGTGCAAAGACGCCTTTTTGGAAAAAATTTAGCGCTTCATGAATGCGTAAACACTCATCGCCAATCACATAGGAGTAATATTGTCCATACTCAGTTAGTTCAATCATTAACTCTTTGCGGATATTGTCCCATTCGTCTTCATGACCACCCAGACAAGTAGATATCGCTCGAAATCCACAATTTCCATCGCCTAATACATCTTGTATTTGTATGATGTATGGATGAAATAAACTCGGGATTTGATCAAGATACGGATGTCGGGTGGTGGGTTGTCGTTGGAAATAGGAACTATGCCTCGTTGATTCTTGATGCCTCAAATGCTATGCAAAATGTCAGGTTAGTCGATGTTACACCAACTATCTCAAGAAGAGGCATGTCGTACCTGAATAATAAATTAACAAAATAATGATGTTAAAGAAAATAATAATGTTAAAAAATAATAATATTGACATTAACATAATAAGACATGCATTTTAAGGTACTTATTTGTTTTATATGTGGCATCGATGACTAACACTTGTGGGAATGCACGCCAAAGCTCAAATGATCTTGGATGAATGAAGAATAAATCTTCCAACTCGTTTGTTTCGTCATTAACACGAGTCTCAAAATCATAATTTTTGTTAACAAAAAAATCAACAACAACCTGCATTTGTGGTCTTCTTGCATCGTTTGTTGTCTTAATCTTTTGTTGTTCATTGTATATTGTTTTTGACGTAGATGCATTTCCCGTATGTCTACCCTTTAACGTGGATAAAATGTGTCGTGGCTTGACATGTTGGGCTGATAGATYTTYAACTAGTTGARCTTCAGTTTCATTTAGCCGCATTGCATATGCATGACCCTCCATATGTTGTGCAAGAACATGATTATGTGCATCACATTCCACCATCAACGTCCACCAACTATGTTTAGCCGAAAATAACGCTATCAACTCAAATGAGCATCCAAATTTTTTTGTTCCCGTATGACGAATGTGAATTATTTTATTTTTGTATGTTCCGCGGTGTTCACACATAAACACAATTTTATAAACATTCCCATTTGGTTTTGTCTTTGATCTTTTCGTAACAACAACACAACCAACTGAACGCCCCACATTGTGCATCCACTCAGTTATTTCTTCCTAAGAATTGAACATCTGGAAAAAAAATTATAACTTTCATTTGTACAAGTAAGTATTAATAAACATAAATATCAATTAACATAATATTGTACCTCGTTGGTGAAAAATTCTGGTGTTATCAAATCTTCTTCCATATTTGATGTATATTGAAGAATGAGAGAGTTATATATTGAAGAAGAATGAGAGAGTTATAAATTGATGAAGAATGAGAGAGTTATATAAGAGAGTGAAATATCGAATGAACGATTCATTTGTTCGTTCGATATATATCGATTTTTTTTACTTTATTTCAAATCAATAACTTTACTTTATTTCAAATMARTAACTTTACTTTATTTCAAATCAAATTATTTTTACAATTAAATAAATAACTATAAATGTAAATATTAAAAATATTAAGTCAAAAAATATTCAATATTGGGCTTATTTCGAAAGTATTGACGCGACGATTATAATGGTGTAACTTATTAAAATTAAAACGTATTTTTTTAAATATATTTTAATTAATATACGATTATGTATCTTAATTTGATCAGGATATAAAATAAAAAATTTAAAAGAAAAGAATATAAAATGAATGAATTAATTAATTATATGAGTAAAATATATAAATTTAAATTTTTAAAATTCTTCAACAGTAAATTCCGTGTGAATATATGAGGAAGAGGTGTGTGAGAGCAGAAAGTTGTGAGAGCCGTGTGAATATGTGAGGAAGAGGTGTGTGAGAGCAGAAGGTTGTGAGAGAGTATTGGAAGGGTGGCAATATCAACCCCTTTTTTAAAACATTTATTAGTTTATCTAGAAGAGGTACACTTTATTTCAAACAGTCATTACCCTAGAACAAATCCATTATTACCCACAAAAACACCCATCAACTACTAGCAACCAAAACAGTAGATACTTTTTACAAACACAAACACCAAATTACACCCTGCAACTAGTAGTCAGAAACGTAACCGTTGTCGCCATTATCGTATTCTATGAGGTACTTGCTCTTGTTGTAACTCACGTCACGAACCCTCTGCTCACTGTAAATCTCAGTGTACCCACTCTTGTTTCCGACCCTCACCGTCGAACTTTTCTTGTATTCGCTCTTTGTCCCACTCGTTCCATTCTTCCACTGAAACTCGCCGGCCGACGCCTTCTCCTTTGTCGTCTTTCGTCCGTAGCACCCACTTTGCTTGTCGCCGTAACTCACCCGAGATTTGGTCTCGAAGCTACCTACTCCTTTTCCTCCATTGAAGGTTACAGTTGTTTCCACAGGGTCGGCAGAAATGATACCGATGGTTCCCACCGTTTTGGAGGCGAAGTTGCCGGAACTTGTTGATCCTTTCTTCATCGTCAGTGATCTGTAAGAAACAGAAACATAGCATAGGCATTTAATCAAGCATATAACAATATGCAACTGAGTTTTTCATACACATTATATGAAACTCTAATCAACATCGAAAAAATCTAAAAACGAGACGATTGATTGATTGATCTCTTGAAATGAAAGAGGATAATCAGATGCAGTTTACAAGATTCAACAATAATAAAAATGAAGAACAAAAAGAATCCAATATCATATGATTTAGAGTTGAAACAGGAAATCATAATGAATGCATCGATGAACAGATGATCGAAGAAGAACATGAAGGAAAAAGGACCTGGGTTTGGTTGTTTGAAGGGGTTATGGATTTGCAATGGAAAAAGGGAATGAGGGTGAGGGGTTATTTGTAGGAGAAGAAGAAGATTGATGTGTACGCTTCTACTACAGTTACTTGGATACCCGTGTGATTACAACGGCCACCGACGATTTTACCACGTAATTATCATTTAATAATAATTAATTGCGTTATTAAAATCTTTTTAACAAATTTAAAAATAATTATAATTTGTAATTAATTAATAATCTATTTTAATGTATGATTAAAAACCGCACTAGATAACTTTAAAGTTAAAAATAAACAACAAGCGTGATCCTGATTGGTTTGAACTTATGCTGTCAAAGTGTTTCGAGGTCTCAAGTTAAAAAACAGTTTCTAAAAAGTTCATACATAACTTAAATTCTATAAAAATGTAATGTTGTAAAAACAGTGAGAAAATATAACATACATGACGGAGATGCTCTCACAAATATCCAAAAAGACCCATACCCTTACGATTTCATACTTAATCGTAGCGGTATATTGTACAATACAATAAATCATCAAATCATGACCATAAATCATGAAAAAGAAACATAAACGTTACTCAGATATCAGAAAATATCTAACTTATTATCACGTTCTAGAACCACAAACATTCGCGCAACGTTTTTTGTAAGTACTCATAGCCCAATTCGTTGATCACCCACGATGGTGGTTGTTTGTTTCCAAACGGAAATGGACTATTTCTTTGTTATTTACCTTCGTCCTCTATGATACTTCATCTTGGATTACGGAGTCGTACACTCGCTGATTAGCCTTCTTCGCCTACAAATCCAATAAAACACAATGCTTCATGTGAGGCAATTCAGATAAACAATAGTCCACTAAGTGGTTGGCTTAAGAGTCTCGTGCCCAGAAAGATCCCGATCCCCAAAGGAATTATAACTCTCATACTGCGATTGTCAGACCTTTGTGTCTGTCTGTGCAAGTATACCAACTTGGAACCAACCGTGTTATGCTATTAGGGGAATTATGTACAAGTTGCATACATAAAATTTTGATCTCCTACAACTATCATTGTGGGTGAGAGACCAAAAAACATCGTATAAGAGAGATAACGACATACTTCCTTTTCCCAGTTGGTGCACAAAGTTAAAATCCAAAGGAAAAACGCTTGAGCGAATAATGCTGCAATGATCCCGTACCATAAACCCTGCATAATCAACAAAGATTGCGTAAATAAAATCGAGTGACAATTTGAGATTGTAGACCACAAAAATCACTACCTTTCCTCGCATATGAAATACAAAAGCAAACAAGATCGCCAAAGGTATGCCAATAAGATAATAAGCTCCCAAGTTCACAATAGCGCCAACTTTTTGCCGGCCGCTCCCTCTAACGGCCCCTAGCAACTCAAAATCGAAATTTATACGATAAGTATGAAAAGAATATGTTAAAACTGTAGCAATATAGGTGATGGTTGTGATTTTGGTCACACAGAGACATCATTATTTTATTTCTCTTTCCTCAATAAATTAATAATGTGTTTTCACGTGATTGATGAACAGGTACAGGAGACTTTACCTGAAAGCACAGATTGGATGCCATCGACGATATGGGATCCTGCAAGAAGCAGCATCATCTCTGCAATATAACTCACCACTTCTTCTTCATTGCTATAACAATATCCCCATAGCTTTCGGCCTAAAACCAAGATTATCGCACCCAAAATGCCTTCAGTTATTACAGAAATCATAGAAACACGCAATGCTAAACGTGCTGCTTGTGGCCGCCCAGCTCCTAATTCATTTGAAACCCGTACACTGCAAACAATTTGGAAAAATTATAAGTAAACAAACAGGAATTCTAACAAATTCAAACGTTAGAAATCACCTTGTGGCACTGCTTAGACCAAGAGGAATCATGTAAATCATCGAGCACGTATTGAGGCTGCAATTAGTGCAATTTGTTAGCCAGATTAAGACAAAAAATGCATAATAGAAAGAACGAAAAAGGGCTAATCTTTGATTTGAACTCTGTTGATTTAACCTGATAGAAAGAACTGAGGTTTCTAGTTGTGGATTTGGAAGAAGACCAGATAGCAACACCATCATCTCAAACGACCATATCTCCAAACTGTTCAAAAATATGCAAAGGATCACAAGTTTTAGAATAAGAACAGATTCTAAAAGCAAATGTTTCATGTAAACATAATGAAAACAAGAAATCTTGAATCCTCGAGAGTCTCTACAGTGGTTAAACAAGTAGAAAAGCAAAAAGATCTTGTAAACTTCATGAAAAAAGAAATCTTGGGTCCTCAGAAACCATTCAGTAGTAAAAGAGATGGCCACAGATAAAAAGTTCACTTTTGAATAAGAGAAAATGCGAAAAGCAGAACATTTTTGCAAGCTTGACGAAAAAAGTAATCTTGAAACCTCAGGAATGATACTGGTTTTAGAGACGGATATATACACAAATCCATATTCTTGAATACGGGTTGACTCGAAAAACAGAAGACTTTTTTAAACTCCATGAAAAAAGAAATCTTGAATCCTCAAGAACTGTATAGTAGTCAAAGAAAGATACACACATACAAAAGATCCACTTCTTGAGTAGGGCGGATGCAAAAAGCAAAAGATTCTTTTAAACTGAGATATACCCAATACAACAAAATTGGATTTATAAGACACCATATATGTTTAGATGTCCAAATATTCTGCTTTATAGGAATTCTGTTTATAGAACCAAACAATTGTGTGTCTTATATAAAAGGAATGCACTATTTAAGGATGAGAATTACCAGACCATAACTGCAGAAGGAACTGCAAGTTTCAAAAAGATTGGAATGTTATGGAAAGCCTCTCTGGAGAAGCCGGTCCAAGTCTTTTTACACGAAGGAGAAACTCGAACATAAACCGCCAACAACAATACATTAATCCAAAGAGAAATTGCATTAGCCAATGCTGCACCTCTATTTCCAAGACCAGATTTGAACACCATAATCCAACAAACAAGAATATGAAGTAAAGTTGTAATCCCAGTACTTAACATCATTGGAACCACATTATTTTGAGCTTGCAGAAATCTAACAAAGCATTGAAGTAGAGCATTGGCAAAAAGACTAGGGATCATGAATCTAGCATAGAGACCAGCTTCAGCTGAGATTTGAGGATCTTGGCCTAGGAAAACAAGCAAGTATCCAGCATAGGCCCAGATAAAAGCAAGAGGGATGCTGACCGATAAAAGAACGATCATGGCTCTTTGCATATGGATTCCCAGCAAATGATATCGTTTTGCCCCATAGGATTGCCCACAGAATGTATCTAAAGCACTGCCCATTCCAATCTATATATATTCAGCATCAAGCAAGAACGAAACTTTAGGTATTTGGTGAGTGCAAGTTAGCATGTTTTATGGTTCGAATAATGGAATTCAAAAGATAGAAATCAACTTACCATTAAGCTGGTACCAGTGACAGAAGCAAAAGAAGTAGCCATTGAAGCACCAGAAAGAGCCAACTCCCCCAAATGACCAACAAACATCACAGAAATCATCGATAACCCACAAATCAGCAGATTTACAGTCATCAAAGGGCCTGCTAAGTACACCTGTTTCTTGAACTCACCCAATATCTCATCTTTGCTGTAGGATATGATTCTCTTTTCTGATTCTTGACCCACAAATGGCGTTCCAAGACCTTCTTCCTCCATTCTTCTGTCTCTCTTTGAGAGTATCGAAACTGGTTCCTACTCAAAGAAATCAAAAAATGGCGTAAAATGGGACGAATACTACAGGATCTGTTACTCACAGGGTTCGAGTAGATTGCATAACAAGTGGTGCTGGATGTCAGTAAGAAAGACCCTTTTTTGGTTTCTTGGGTTGAGGGTTATTTTCCAGATGGCGGCCATGCTACTTCTTGATTCGCATGCCAGCAAAAGAGAGATACTCATTTCCAGGAAAGGGGGATTTTAATGGTGATATTTAGGGTGGGTGGTGGCCAACTATGATCTTACTTCTTCCTACCACGGATGCAGCGCATCTTTTCTGCATAACGACATTCAGTCGATTCCAAAGAGAGAAGCTTTTTATATTGAAAAGTTATTCAAATAAGTCGATTTTTTTTAACGTATGGGGAATGAAGAAGAATGTGGGTAACATCTAACGAGACCCTGCTTCATCTCCAACTTCCATCTTGAGATAAATGTGTTTTTTTGCTTAGGGTTGGAAATTCCAAAACCCAATTGACAATTGCATTTTTGGCATATGTTAGGAGATGCTCTAAAGCTATTAATAAAAAACAGTTTCGACCATATGATCATATGTGTACTTTGTCTAAACGTTAGTTTCGATCATAAATCCCTAATTCTTGGAATTACCTGTTTGGTCATATCATATCTTAACCTTCATGGTTCCTTACAAACTAAGAGTCCCTTTCGGTTTTTGACTTTTTTGAGATTTTAACGTTAAAGATACGTTTTATTTATATGACAAAATGACCAGATTCATTCTATCATACAGGAATTAAATAGATCTTTTTAGAGGGTTTTTTTATATTTATTGACTTACTAATAATAGTTATCAATAAGATATGAAATTATTAACCACTTAAGAGTAGCTTAATCACTAATATATTGGTTTACTTTTTAGTAATCACCAGTTTGAGTCTTCTGTGAGTATTAAAAGTTTCTCTCGTTGTTAACTTTGAGTCTTCATGGAATTAGTTGAGGTATGCACAAACCAACCCCAACAGCCATGGTTATAAAATAAATCATTAACTTTTTTTTTGTCAAATTGTCATATGTTTTGTCATATTGGTACAGATCAACTATTTATCTTAGATAACCAAATAAAAATAGAAAATATTGTAATTACATGTTGTGACGTAGAAGTAAGTTTAAGACAGGTACCACGGCTATAAGTAGTATAAAATAAATACCAAACTTGATAGTTAATGATAATAAAATATATTTACTCTTAAAATTAATGTTTCTGTTTTTATTTTTTTCAAATACAAAAATTTACTTCTAGTTTATCCAAAGTAAGTTCAAATAGCAACATTCCTCCCCGTATTTCATAGCATAATTAACAATACAACAAGATATATTTTATTCTAATATTTCATCTTATTTTGTCTTTGTAGATAGGGGTGACAAAAAATGACCCAACTCATTAAACCAACCTAAACCGAACCCAAAATTAGCAGGTTGGGTTGAGATTTTTAACTCATTTAAATAAATGGTCAACCCGTCTAACCTATTTAAATAAATGGGTTAGATTGGGTTGAATTTTTTGACCCGTTTTCAACCCACTTAAAATATTATATAAATTTATTTTATTCTTAATATTATATCTATTTTATTTTTTATTTTGTTTCTTCTTAAATAAATTGACCCAAGTTTCATGATGACTCTTCGATTTCAATCCTTCAATAATTAATTCTTCATACGCTTCATTACTAATCAGTATCATGAAACCTTCAATTCTTCAATCTTCATACGCTTTGATTATCAATCTTTTCCCCTTCTTTTGAGTTTTATCTTCTCCAATCAAATATTTGGGTTGGTTTCAGACTTTTGGTTTCCGATTTGAGGTTGAGGGCTTGAGGCGTTGTTGAGTGATAGCAGAGTAAGTTTTTTATGATCATGTTTGTTTAGTATTTTGTTGTTAAACTTCGTATAGATCATATGAATTTCATGCTTCTCTTTGATTATTTGTTACTTTATGACTATATCGAAGTTTAGTGATTTCTTTCAAGTTTGAATTTGTTATTTGTATGATGTGGCTATCTGTTTCTATCACTGTACCTATACCTCAGAGAGAATTGTTATCATTCATCTTCATTGAGATAATTATACAAGCTACATATAAGTTGTTTATTTTGTACGCATGGATTACACTTGCTGATAGACTAATGGTCTTAGAATTTTAGGTACGAGAGTGAAATTGGGGTTGATAAAAGTGGAAGTCGAGTTACTTAGATTTTAAAAAAATTCAACTTATTTTGAATAATATATTGGTTGTGGTTGTGTTTTATTCAAACTTTGAACAATTTGATTGTATTTGTGGTTGTGTAATATTTTATTCAAAAAAGTTAAATACTCTAGTTCTTTTTTTATTTAAAATTTTAAAATTAAATGGGTCAACCCAGGTTCAACCCATTTATTTAACAGGTTGGGTTAAGAAAATCGTAAACAGGTCAACCCGCTATCAACCCATTAACCCAACAGATTGGGTTGGGTTGAAAAATCTCAACCCATTTAATTAAATGGGTTGGGTTGGGTTGAGATTTTCAACTTGTTTAATAAATGGATTGAACCCGAATCCAACCCAACCTGACCTATTGCCACCCTTATCTGTAGATGTTATAATATGAGAAACTAATAATGTTTTTATTTTTAAATAAAATATAAATTTGAAGATATCATAAAATTTCGAAAATAAATATATCAATATTAGTATCAGATTAACTATTTAAAAGTTATTTTTCTTGTGCTAATTCAATTTTTTATTACAATTTAATTTAGATTTAATAACGAAATAATTTTTATTTATTTAATAATGTAATTTTTTATAAGAATGATGATTAAATATTCTGTTAGTTCTCAATTATTATCTTAATTATATTTTAGATTTTTTTATTTAAAATAAAATATTTATCTTATTTTTACTAATAATTATTATGTAGTTTTTCTTTTTCTTTTTCCAGAATAATACATGAAAACAAATTAATTAATTATGATAATTTCTTTCTTGTTAAGAAATCCAAATGGAAGGAATTAAATATTAAATGCACTGTACTATAATAAATGGGAAAATATAAAAAAAATTCAATATACTTTGTTGTTTGGAATGATTAAGTTATTGGACATCTTAAAACATGTTAAATAATCCATTGGATTTTCTAAAACATGTTAGATACATCTTTATGACCTATACAACTGATTAATATGATAAAATAATGATAAAAGTCTGGAACAAAAAGCCAATGGACTATCATATTTTGAACGATCAAGTCCCTAAACGTTTTTTGAACCAAAAGAGTACTTAAATCTATAAAAATAAACAAAAATACCAAAAAATTACTTATATTTACGAAACAATACTTACATTTAAAAATATTATTAATAAAATTTATTTTAATTAAAAATAAAATATATTCTCTCAATGATTTTTCAAATAAAAAAAATAAAAAAATAATTTAAAAATGATTAATGAATAAATTTATTTTAATTAAAAATAAAATATATCACGTATGTGATTTTTCAAATTCAAAAAAAAGATTTAAAAGATTACTGATAAAATTTATTTTAATTAAAAATAAAATACATTTTTATTTTTAAATAAAATAAATTTCATCAGTGATATTTTTTAATTTTTTTAATTTGAGATATCATATATGAAATGTATTTTATTTTTAATTAAAAAAATATAATCAGTAATACTTTTTAAGTTTTTCTTTTGTTTTTTTTTAATTTGAAAAATCACTGACAAAATATTTTTTATTTTTAATCAAAATATATTTCATCAATAATTTTTTTAAATGTAAGTACTTTTTTGGTTCAAAATTTTTTTAGGGACTTAATCGCTTAAAATATGAAAGTTCATTGGGTTTTTTTTTCCGTTTTTTTCCTTATTTTATCACATTAATCAGTTTTATAGGTCATGAGAATATATCTAGCATGTTTTAAAAAGTCGAAGGATTTATTTAACAGGTTTTGGAATGTTCAATGATTTATTTGTTCTAAAAAATTGTTCAATAACTTAATTATTCCAAACATTAAAGTCTATTAGGTTTTTTTAGATTTTTCCCATAATAAATTCGGTTAATAAGCAACAACTATTTATAATAAGAAAAAATAATTTAAAAATATAAGTGAACTATTTATCATAAGTTAAAACAATTGAATTTTCATTGTTATCATCTTCAAAATGTTAAAAGTTTTGAAAAGAAAAATACATAAACAAAAGTTTATATTTAATCATAAAAACATATATATACGTGTTTTGAAAACGAAACTGTTGATGGAAAATGAATCATCAACGCCCGATAAGATAAGAAGGGATAAATGCTTTTGTTAAAGTTATTTTTAATCATCAACGTATGCTTTTGTTGATTTGTTATCCAATCTATTTAAAATAGCGGGTAATAAAACCAGGGGCGGAACCCCATAGGGGCCTTTGGGGGCCATGGCCCCCCCGCTTTTCTGCTTAAATACTATAACTAAGCTATTAAAACATATACATTAAGTAGCTCAGTTGTTAATGGTATACCTTCTATATATTGGAGGTTGCTGTTTCAAATCCCATCCCAAGCAATTGTTTTTGCACTTTATAAAAGTTATTAATATTTAATTACATGTATTAGTTTTTATATAATATATTAATTATATGTAAATATAAGTTTTTAAAGTAAATTACACCGGTATTACTATTTCTCGGTTAATACTTTGAATGTTTTAGTT